AAATAGACACTTCACCTAAGAACACATTAAGATGACAAACACATGAAGAAATGTTCAGAATCTCTAGCTCTAAGAGAGATTCTAAGAGAGAGCATATCAAAACAGCTATGCGATATCATATCACTCCAGCAACAATAGCAAAGTTCAACAGAGCAGCAAACAACAAATGTTGGAGAGGTTGCGAAGAGATTAAAACGTGTATTCACTGCTAGTGGGAGTGTAAAATGGTGCAACCACTATGGAATGTGGTATGATGCTTTCTCAGAAAGTTGAAATACCATTTGGCCCAGCAATTCCACTATTGGTAATATATACCCTAAAGAAACCAGAACTGTCATCAAAAGAGATCATGTTTATTGCTGTGTTATTCACAATTACAGAGAGATGGAAGCAACCCCAAGTGCACATAAACAAACAAATGGATAGGAAAACTATGGTGTATTCATACAATGGAATACTATGCAGCACTGAAAAACAATAAATTTGTTACACAACATGGGTGACCCTGGAGGACATTAAACTAAGTGAAATAGCTCAGTCACAAAAGGACAAATACTACATACTTTATAACCACTGTTATAAAGCAGTACTGACATGGGAAGTTGGGAGGAGAATAGGAAAAGAGTAGATGAAGGAAAGAACTGTTTAAAAAGCTTTTTATTAAAAAAAATTACAAAATAATGGGATTTTTTTCTTTCTCCATATGTTGTACTTTGATATTTTTGAAACTTTTAAGTCTTTTTTACTTTTCGTTTTTAAAATGGCTGGTTGATAACTTCTTGGCTTTTTGGCTAAGATCAAGGATAAGTTGGTGGTTGAGAGTCACCCAATTGACTTCCTAACTGACCTTGTTATCATTAGTTGCTGTTACTCAGAGTGACCTCATGCATAACAGTAGAAAACACTGCCTGGTCCTGTGCCATGCCCATCCTCAGCTGCAGAGTGGATCATTATCTATGGGGTTTTCATCACGTGCTTTTTGGATAGAGATCTCCAGGACTTTATTCCTAGTTCACCTTAGTTTGGAAGCTCTGCCAAAACCTGCTCTGCATCACAGCAGCATAAAAGCTTCTGGGAGACAAGCAATTGCTGTGTGTGAAGTGTATTTAAGGGGGACTGAACCTGGAAGTTCTACATGAAAGGCAAGAATTCTACCCTGGAGCCACCAATGCCCCAAGACCAACTAGTGAGTTTTCAAGTCACACTTAGAAAAACACTGCTTTGAGGTGTGTCAGGGGCTTATATCCCCATTCCAGGAAAGAAAAATGGAAGGAAAATATGAGGGAATGAAAGACATATAGTGGTTGGTGGGCTAGTTCATCTTCCCTACCTGCAGACTCTTCCCACCCCGTCCCAGGCAGCCCAGGCCCCTTCTTTACTGTCGCTCCCAGTACTTGTTTGGCTGAAAGATGTGCCTGTTTGCTTAGCGGCTACCACAGCAGAGCAGGGAGGATCAAGGCAGAAGGTGTTTGATTGGGGCTAGGGGTTCACACATTCTTTCATGGCTTTCTTTTCAAAAGACTGAGTGAGCCTGGTACACATGCAAAGCAATGGTCGTGAGCTGCTTTATGTTGTTTGGTTTTTATTTTGAAAAGTTTCAGATAAATGACTGACTAGAGTTGGACAATGACTAGGGAGGATAGGAGGAGAATTGATGCCTTTGTACTGTGGTGCTGGAGAAGAGTATTGAGTATACCATGGACTGCTAAGAAGATGAACAGGTTCATCCTGGAGAGGGTGTAATTGGGCTGCTCCTTGGAGGCAAGGATTCTGAAGCTTCGTCTGACATACTTTGAACATGTTGCAAAAAGGGACCAATCCTTGGAGAAGGATGTCATGCTCGGGAGGGTGGAGGGACAGTGCAGGAGAGGAAGATCCTCTATGAGATGGATTGATTCAGTGACTGGGGTAATCGGGGTGGTTGTGTAGGAGACAGTGAGGTTGGCACAGGACAGAGCAGAGTTTAGGGCTGTTGTACATAGGGTCGCTATGAGTCACAGGCGACCTCGATGGCATATAACAACAACAACAGAAGATATGGCACTTAAGATAAAAGTTAGCATCCAGAATATGTAAATTATTCCTATAAACAACTTTAAAAAATCCACAGTGTTCAGGGGGCTGTTCTGAAGATGAACGGTATTAATACATTGAAAGTTCTTAAAACAGTGCTCTGTAAGTTGCTGTTGTCAGCTGTGACCGAGCCAGCCCCTCTGTTCATGGTGTCCCATGTACACTAGAATAAAATCCTTATAGGGCATTCACTGGCTGATTTTCAAAAACAGACTGCCCAGTCTGCCTTAGCCTGGAAGCTTCACTGAAATCTTTTTGGCGATGACAGAAGGGTAGTGGCTGTGCATGAGGCACAAGGGTTGGTAACTAAACCTGAAACACCTCAGTGGAAGGGGATTTCTACCACCCAGTCACACCAGATCCCTTGATAATTTTATTGCTGTTATTCAGTGACAGAATCAGTAGGCTCGTGGAGACCCACTGCAGAACTGCCCTGCAGGATTTTCTAGACTATAACCTTTAAAAGTCATGCAGTTAAAATCCTCCAGTTTCTCTGAGGAAGAAAGATGGACATTCCTCTGGTGCCATTTACTGCCTTTGAAAGCCTGCTGGAGGGTTAGCTATGAGATAGTTCCACCCTGACAACATAAAACACCATCTTTATGGGAGCAAACAACCAGGTTTATCTCCTATGGCGTGGTTAGATAAGATTGAATGGCAAACCTTTCTGTTTGCAAGCATGAAATTACTGTGCCTCAAAGCTTCCTCACCAGATGTAGTCCAAGTGCTCCTTAGAAGCAAGATTTCATCTCATCACCTCCGTATTTACTCAGTCTGTATGCTGAGCAAATTATCTGAGAAGCTGGACTCTGTGAAGAGGAATGTGGCATCAGGATCAGAGGGAGACTCTTCAATAACCTGCATTATGCAGATGACACAACCTTACTTGCTGAAAGTGAGGAGGACTTGAAGCACTTGTTGCAGAACATAAAAAATACAGCCTTTCAATATGGATTTCATCTCAATGTCAAGAAAACAGATTCATACCACTGGATTGATAGGCAATATCATGATGGATGGAGAAAAGGTTAAAATTTTCAACAACTTCATCTTCTTTGGCTCCACAATTAACACCTTGGTACCAGCAGTCAGGAAATTGGGGGGAGCATTTCACTGGGAAAGTCTGCAGTTAGGGACCTCTCAATGTTATTGAGGAGTAATGATGTCTATTTGAGGACTCAGATGCATCTGATTCAGGCCATAGTCTTTCCAATCACTTGCTATACATCTGAGAGCTGGATAAGGAATAGGAATGATAGAAGAAGAATTGATGGCTTTGAGCAGTGGTGTTGGAGAAGAACACTGAACATCCCATGGATGGCCAAGAGAACAAATAAATAACTACATCTTGGAGAGGGTGCAGCCAGAGTGCTCTTTGGAGGTAAAGATGATGAGGCTTCATCTCACATACTTTGGGCATGTTGCTAGGAGGCGCTATTCCTTGGAGAAGGACATGATGCTGGGAAGGGTGGAGGGTTGGTGATGGAGAGGAAGACCTTCAACCAGGTGGATTGACACGGCGACTGCTGCAATGGGCCCTTGAGTGTCAGGAAGTGTGAGGATGGCGCAGGACAGGACTGGGTTCAGATTTGTTGTTCAGTGTTGCTATGAGTTATATTCAACTAGACTGGATGGAACGTAACAATAACAATAGCAACAATGTGTCAGAGTGGACTCTACAGCATCTAACATTACTATTTATAAAATATCTTTCAATACTTCAAGATGCTGTATGTATAATACAGAATACAATGTTTATAATAGCATATGCTTAATAATTTATATACAATTTGCATTGCATATAATTGACTCATTTTAAGTGTACAATTCAGTGATGTTTTAGTAAATTTCACTATCATACTTTCATATCCATAGTCAGTTTTAAGACATTTCTGTTTTTTCAAAAGTTCCCTTCCATCCATCTATAGTCATCTCTGTTCCTCCCAAAGCCCTAAGCAACTACTAATCTTCTTTCTGCTGATTTTCCATTTCTATGTCCTACAAATGGATTGTAAAACACATGATTTTTTTATGTCTGGTGTGTTAACTATTATTACTTTTAAAAAATAATTTTTTATTAGGCATGTTATTAATTCTTTTTAGATATATTCTTTATTTTAAACAATACATCCTGGTGGTTTAATTTTTTTTTTAGAGTGCATTTATAATGCCGATTCTCTCACATCACAAAGAAAAATTTAACTTTGGTAAGCAGATTAAACAGTGAGTAAATAAACCATTTCCTAAATGCTCTGGAATTTAGGTCCTAGGCTCACATTGTCCTGGCCTAGAATGCACCACTGACCTGTGACTTGCTAGTTCCTGGTTTTGCCAAATTTGGGCATGCTTTTGTTACTGCTTCTCTCTCTGTCTCTCTGTCTCTCTCTCTCTCACCTGGTGTTTACTCTTTTCCCAGAAAAAGAAATTTATTTGCTTTTATACCATATTTCCCTTTAAAAATGTACAAAAAAGAAAGCCAGAAAGTTGCTAGAGTCTTGTGGTGAAGTGTACCTGGGTTCTGTTTGGGAAGGTAATGTTCTTATTAGACAATTACTCACCTTTAATTGTGTGGATTCCCAGACAAAGGGCCATAATCCAGTATTTGAGAAAAAATTTCCTTCAGTTAAGGAATATATGACCACAGGTAGGGAGAGAGAAACTTGCCAGGTCACTCAGAGAACCTCCCGCAGGATTGGCCTCCTTCTATCCTGGCATGTCCTCTCTGCCCTGTGAAGAGTCAGCTAACCACCCCCTCCTGCAGAGGGCGCTGCGTGCCAGGGTCAGCAACATCAGGGCCAGCAGGACAGGACCTCATCTCTCTTCTCAGGGTGCATCCCCAGGAGGAGGAGCAACCAAAATTTAGGAGGCTGCACCCAGTTTCTACCAAGGGAAACTGATGGTACCACCACCTTTTCTTTTTGCTTCAGATGAATTAAAAAACAAAACCGTATGTGAAGACCAGGAGCTGAAACTGCACTGTCATGAATCCAAGTTTCTCAACATTTATTCAGCGACATACGGCAGGAAGATGCAGGAGAAGGACGTCTGCTCCTCTGATGCGCGCCATCTCTTCCCTTTTGGTATGTGTTTCCAGAAAGATGGACGATTTCCTCCTGTGTGATTTACAGCCTCTAAACCCCCACCCCCGCCCTGGAGGGTCAGCTATGACTCTGTTTTGACTGGACAGTAGGGAGTGGATGAATGAGTGAGTGAGTGAAAACTGGGCTGCTGGACCAGGATTCTGGCTTTTCCAACGACCAGGAGCCATTCTGGATGGAGTAACAAAAAAGTCAAAGGTGGGTGAGAGAGAGTTAAGGGTGGGGAGGGACCCTTTCACGAGCCAGGTGCCCTCATTTGAGGTTCTACAATTTTCATCATTCCACCAGGAGCCACAAACCAAACCCCATTATCCTTCAGTGGAGTCTGACCAGTGTCTTACAAAATAGATCTGCTTTAGAGAATTTTCTTGGCTGTCATCTTTATGGAGGTAGATGTCTGACCCTTTGGTTATTTGAAAAGCCAGAATCACCTGCCTTTGGGTTAGCTATTGTTTAGTTGCCATCATGTCGCTTCTGACACATGGCGACCTCGTGTATAGAACTTATTCTGTTAATTCTGTCCATTTTCCAGGTCTATGAGCTTTCAGAAGCAGACCTGTCTACTGAGGTGTCTCTTGTGGTTTTGAGTCTCCCACCCTTTGACTAGTTAACCATCTGTGCCATCCAGGGCTGTGTACCATCCATACCAAGCACTTAGGGAATGCCTACTGTATGCCAGGCCCTGTATTAGGCATGGGGATGTCATTAGTCATCAAAACAGTCTTTGTCCTCCCATAGCTGATGTCTTCTCCATGGTCAGGGAGGCACTGAGGAAACCATTAATAAGTGAGTCAGTGTGTATGTCAGAGTGAGGAGAGTTGATATGCTTGATTAAGGCTTCTCAGGATCTACCTCTAAACCAATCAGCTGGTGGAAAAGAAAAGCTCTGTGGACCACAGTGATCTAATCCTGCTGTGCATTGGGCACCACAAGTCAGGGCCACCATAACAGTAGGTAAGAGCTACATGCCTTCTCATGTCAGGTGCAGATTAATGCAAGGAGAAAAGGGAGTTAGGGAAAGCCAGGTGCATGGAGGGGAGGCGCTGTTTCATGGAGTGATGATTGTGCTGAGCCTGTAGGTACTTGGGGCAGAGGAGTATTTTGGTACCAAGGAGAATCTGTTCAAAATGTTAGCCATATGGTGGTGGTGAGGGGAGTGAGCATGGGGGAGAGGGGTGGGAAGGACTCAGGGTCTGGAGTTTGGAACTGAAAGACAATGGCTGAGAGACTGGCCTGATAACTCGCAGCCCCTCCAGGCCGAGGCTGTGAAAGAGCTTCATCTACACATCACAGAGAGAACAGGCCCTACTGTGGAGCAGCCAAAGGACCTGCGTGTTATTGAGCAAAACGTAAAAAGAGCTTCTTAATGTTTCTTTGCTGTAATATAGTCATGATCATGTGTCAAATGAAACATTAATTTAAAACAAACTTAACGCATAACTAGTATCTTGGGTCTGCATAAAACATGAGTGTAAAGTGTCTTAAAGAGTTTTATAAAGTTTCTAGAGACATGCAATCAGTAAGGTATACACTACTTATCACTTATCAGTTTTGTTTAGTGTCCGAAGACTAAATTGTTATTGGAAAATAGAGGAATTGTTTTGGTTTGTTTTCTATTTTCAGAACATCTATTTCTCACTCCAGCAACAATGGCAAACTTCAACAGGGCAGCAAACAACAAATGCTAATAAGGTTGTGGAGAGATTGGAACCCTTATTCACTGTGGGTGGGAGTGTAAAATGGTACAACCACTGTGGAAGACAGTGTGGTGCTTTCTCAAAAAGTTGGAAATAGAAATACCATTTGACCCAGCAATTGCACTACTCGGAATATACCCCAAAGAGACCAGAGCTGCCACCTATACAGATGTATACACACACATGTTTATTGCTGTGTTATTCATAATAGCAAAGAGATGGAAGAACATCTATTTTTTCTGTTGTTGTTTTTTTACAATTAGAAAATATGACCATAGAAATAATAGCTGCTAAGATGACGTAGTCCATAGGAAATTGCACAACTAAGTCAAAGTTTTGGCCTTTCTGGAGGTTGGAATCTACCGGCCATTCTGATTGGGGAAAGGTGGGCAATTTCCTCTCGTGGTTTGCAGCCTTGAAACTTCAATGGAGGGTCATCTACACATTGGTTCTGACTCAATGGCCATGAGTTTGAGTTTTGTTGTGGTTGTTTTCTTTTTTAAGACTGATGTTCTCATCACTGTGCTTGCTGTTGAGTGAATTCCATCTCTAAGCAACTCTGTGGGACAGAGGACTACCCTGTAAGATTTTCTAGGCTGTAATCTTAATGGATCCAGGGCACCAGGGCTTCTGCCCACTCTGAGTGACTTTTAACTTTTTGACTAGCATTACAATTCTTAACCATTGAACCACCTAAGAGAAAGAGTTATTTTATTACAATAACAACACACAACAGTTGGCTCATGTGATTGTAGAGGGGAGGAGGTGGCAAACCCTAAATCTGTGTGCCTTTGACAGGTTACAAATCTCGGTACTCATGTGTCTCCGAACCTATAGGTCAGGTTGCAGGAAGAGGAGCATGCAGGTCTGCTGAGCTCAGCAAAGGGACTGACCTGTTATTAAAGGAGTCTCACTGCCCTCAGACTTGTCTCTCTCAAAGCTCTACTTTCTAAGAAGTCCTTGGATGATACAAACAGCTAAAGCTGAAAGGCTGGAGATTTAAGTCTATCCAGAGATGCCTCAAAAGCAAGGCCTGGAGATTAACTTTAAAAAAAAAAAACACCAACTGTTGAAAACCCCATGGGATGCATTTCTGTGCCCTGGCGCACATAGGGTTACCGTGAGTCACAGTCAAGTTGGGAACACTCTTTTGTTTCCTAAAAGCCAGTCATCCTGGTTGGTTCCATCTGCGCTACTCCCATCCTCTCTGCCCATATTATCCAGGCTTCTTAGTTAGAGAAAAGATTCTTGGAGATTGAACAGTTTTCTGATCTTGTTACCGACTTTCCTGCCTTGTGCTACTGTCAACAGGGACTCCATTTCCTGATACCAGAGAGTGCTCCCCATTTCTCAGGCCCATGAACTCTCACTCACAAGCAAATGTTTCAGGAGGAAGTTCTTTGAAGCAGTAGAATTCAGTCTACAGAGCGAGTATATTCTGTGGACTAGGCTATGTGTCTTTAATAGTAGGTTTCATAATAATCATGTATCACCTCTAATCTGTTCTTTCCCTCATCTGTTTCAATACAATATACATAATTTATCCAGTTTTTTCTCAGTCTTACCCCAACCCTGATGTCAGTCCCATTCTACAACCGTGGATTGAATATTATGGTTAGCACAGGAGTCCAGAATTAAGGTTGCATAGAGAAGTGTACTCAGTGCGGGGGGTGCGGGGGATGGGGGAATTGTACACCAATGAAGGAATTTTTTTTTCTTTTTCTTTTCAAAGAGAGGAGTGAACTGGTGGGGAGGGGTGGGCAGGGTGAAAAGTGCAGCAATGAATGAATGAAAATCCAAAATCTCTGTAAATGTTTATAAAAATTAATAAAAATGAAAAAAAGAAGATAGCATAAAAAAATAGTAGGTTTCAAAGGAAACATAATCAGTCAAAGAAAATGATAACAGACATCATGGCCAAAGGACAGGTTCCCATAGAGAGTTGGAGAAATTCTCGAGTCAGCTAGCTGTTGTTAACACTATTAGCAACCCTGGTTGGCGTGGAGAAGGTCTTGTGCCTGGCCCTTGCTTAATTATTCGTGTTTAAAATGTGAGAGTGCTGGCAGGGACACATGGCAGAAACAACCTGCGGTCCTTCTCCCCTGTTCTCACCCTTCACAATCCAGTGCTTCCTCTCCCTGCCTGTGTGTGCTCACGGGATTGAGCTTTCCTCTGAATATTCTGCAATACTGCTGAAGCCCCAGGAACCTTCTTGCCCTGTGCTCTGGGGTGCGAAGAGGCTTGAAGGAGAAATCAAAGGACCTTTTAGTAGATGGGAACCTTTGAGTGGTAAAAAAAAACCCTAAGCCTCTAACTATTTATTAGCTAAAAGGTTGGAGTTTTGCTCTCGCCCTGAGGCACCTTGGAAGAAAGGCCTGGTGATCAGCTTACAGAGTCATAACCGGTGAAGACTGTATGGAGCAGTTCCACTCTGCACCCATGGGCTCGCCACACTACCCTCAGCCTCACACAGACTCTTTCACCAAGCTGTCCTCACCTCTTCTCACCTTTCAGATGAGCTCTAAAATGTAAACCCTTTTCTAAGGTCTACATAAGTGCTGGGGAGCTCTGTGTGCACAACAGATAAGGATTTGGCTGCTAGCTAACAGGTTGGCTGTTCTAGCCCACCTAGTGGCTCCACTCTGTGAAAGACAATGTGATCTGCTTCTATAAAGAAGCAGGGATGATCATGGGGTGTTCTGTGCTGACATACAAGCTCATTGTGTGTCAGAACCCACTCCATGAGCTGAGTACTGAGAAATCACTCACTCTCCGGTCCAGGCATATTGCACTGCCAATGTAAAGGTATGTAGTTCAAATCCACCAGTGGCTCTTTGGGAGAAAGATGGACAGTTTCCTCCCATGTGATTAACTGCCTCTGAAAACCCACTGGAGGGTTAGCTATGGATCAGTTTCTACTCAATAGTACACAACAACAACAATAAACTTCATTACTATCCATTTGGTTCCTATTCATAGTGATTGACAAGTTGCTGTAAATGAATTGCAACAAGACTGTTCATCTTTTTCCCAGGGAAGCACTGGTGGAATCAGACTGCCCAAAGACACTATATATAGTAAAGTTTAACCTGCACTTGGTCTGTATCTCTCTTGTCTTTCCCCCACATCTGAATAACCAGTTCATCTGTCTTTGCATCATGCTCTGATATCATCTACCTTGACAAGCACACTCCAGACCACTGGCCCCTGTGTTCCCTCCATAGGTCCCAGGGGCTCTATATCAAGGTGTTCCTCATCCACTCTCCACTTCTGCCCCCACACCCT